AAGGCTATAGGGAGGCAGTCTTTATCCACTGCATTCTGAACTACACATTTAAGTCAGCAAGATTGGAAACTAACGTCTTAATACCATTTAACCCATTCATTCCCTTTTCTGATTTGTGCTTCTTGGACCTTTGTTAAAATCAATTGCTTTGCATATCTGATGCTAAGATCTTCGTAGATACATTAGGCAAAAAAGAGCATTGAATATTTTAGTCTTCTCTGTGTCACATTATTTGCTATCTTTCATTTTAGATACTGGATTTGAACCTTCCTTTATCTCCCTTACCCTATGTGTGTGTGTAACCTCTTATTGGCTTTTAGGTCCTTTCCTAATTTAAGTCATTTTGCCTTTAGTCTTCCCGATTTGTTCCCCGTCTGAGCATGCTATTCCTTTAAACTCATTTTCAATCATCTGTTTTTGTTTCCACTTTTTTGTGTGATCCCTTCTTGTTTTTTTAGTTAATCGAATAGCTCCTGTTGAAGCCTCGCTGCTCTCTTTCAGTGCTTTCTTTGCATCAGGGTCTTCTGCTGTTGTGCCTTTAATACACTTCTTTCAGTAACTGTTGGCTCTACTATGCTCCCATTTCCTTCTGAATTTCTTCCAAAAGATCTACCCACCCATTCATTCCCTAAGCCAACTAAAATCTGCTTTTGGAAGCCCATTCTCTTTCTGCCACTCCATGCTTTCTTTGGCATCATTGATTTTATTGTTTTGTGATCAGTTTTATACATGTACCTTCCACCTTTGTCTTAATCAGGAAATATTAACTGATAAGGTAAATAATATTCAAAACAGCCTTTCCTCTCTTACCTCCTCAAGTCTCTGCAACCACAAATAGTTGTTCTCAGTACCCTTCAGGAATGTGCTGGGCAGCTCCTCTCTTGTACAGCAATTTTCCAGGACTGCAAGTGTGTTGTATGTGGAGGGGTGGTAGGGGAGAAGGAAAGGGTGTCCCAGATCTGCTGACTGTGGGGTTGTTATCTTTTTCTTGGAGGAATATGACAACTCTGGACAAAACCAGGGATAGGTCACTAGTCTAAGTGGGTGTCAGATCAGATGGAGCAAAGCAGCTCCCCTCTTCCCAGCACAGGAGCATTGCAGAGCGAGGCAGCAGAGCAGCTCACCTGCAGCTGGAAGGGAACGGAGGTGCGGAATCTGTAAATTGTATTACTGATATTTTAATATCTAGTATTGCACCATCAGTCTGGCTTTTTGTTGATGATCAGGCCAAAAATTGAAGTCACTATTCAACAATTAGAAAAAAAAAAAAACCAAACCCAACAACTGTAAACTGGTATGACTTTTGCCTGAAAAAAGCATCAAGACATGCCCCATTACTATTAGAAACCACACACAGACATGGCTCTCTGCAAACACTGTCTGTCTCTAATGGCTTAAAATCAAAGGCAACAAAATAAGCTCCAGGCTAGGCAGATACTTCAGGACAGAAGATATAGGGTGTATAGAGTGAGACAGAAGTACGAAAGATGTGTGGAAAAGCATGAGCTTAAAAAACAGAGGAAGCCTGAAAGATAAGAGGGGCCTGTTTACCTGACAGCAGCATTATAAAAGGAATAGTCTGAGTGTATGAAAAAAATTGCAGGGAACAGCAGACAAGTAGATTGCAAAGAACATGGGAAGAAAAGCAATAGAATGAAATGAAAACAGACAGGTGGGGAAAAAGAAAGTGAATGTAGCATCCATCAGGATGGGTTTTTCTTTTCTTCACCAGGGAACATTTAAAACCAAATTACTTTTTATTAAAATGACAAACACAAGAAGGGATTATAAAACTGTCCTTGATTCTGACTGGAATGTAGCTAATAATCTTAGTAGCTAGAGCAGGGAGACCGGAGTTCAGGGGAACATTTCTATGGTAAAAAAAAAAACACTGTTTAATTTCTGTGTTTGGTTTGAAGGGAAGCTGTTTTTAGGCTTCTTAGAGATTTGGAGTACAAATAACCACAGCAGAGGTGGATCACTGGATCTGACTGATGTTGATGATAGCAAAGGTAGGATAAATGCAGTTTGACAATTACATCAATGATAAAAATGTATCTGTGCTTACATGGTGTTTGTGTCTGTTTCTCAAATGTAGGTTTAATGTGATACCATTTTCTTTCATTTTGGCTTCTCTGCATTTTGATATGCTGGTATATTTAGGGAAGATATTTTTGCTAGTATATTATTTATGTATGTTTTTGTTACCTTGTAACTCAGAGTTGCTAGGAAATGCTATATTAAAAAAATTATAAAGCATGTAGTGCAGTATATGGCTCAGGGAGAGAGCTCTAATGCAGTGAGCCTCAAAATTGATGGAATCAAGCTCTAAATAACTTTTTCCTATAAAAATATTATTGCTCTAAATCAGTTTTAGAAAACTTTACCTAAGCTCAAAAATGAATGTTAGTACAATTGCAACATTCCTGTTTGCTCATAAATAGAAATGCTATGTGAGAACCAGGTGCAGAAGCTGTTACAATCTGAGGTGGTGTTCTATCACAGCAATGCACTTGCTGTCACAGTTACTTGGCATTTTTAGCTTGTATTTGTGCCAAAACTGCATTTTCAATCTTCTGAGCCTACAGGACATAGACTGGAAGATTCTAGTCATCATTCCAGCTCATACTAGCTAGGAGCGCATTAGTCTGATACAGGGAGAGTCCATATGTGGGCTCAGCTGTGTCAAAAGGACAGTGGTTTTGAGCTACAAACTTCCAGCATTCCCTGAGACAGAAAACAGCATTTTCTTCTCCAGACCTGTTTTCCCAGCATACTACATTCCATCTAACCTAGAAATGTCATAAATACATAACTTTGATGATGAAATAATTTAGGCATTTTCTACTTTAGCTGCTGTACTGGTATGTCTATTTAGCTACAAGAGTATTTTACACTCTGATAGTTAAATCAGATTGACTGCTGGTGTTGGCATAGATATAGGATGTGTGTATGTCCTCCTATGTATGGATGGGGTAGGTGAGTGCATGTGCAGTTGTGTATACATATACCTATGTACAGAATTCATATATCTATTGGCAAATATAATAGCAAATACAGTGTGGCATACTGTAATAGCTTATGCTTTAAGAAAATACCACTGCAGGTCTATTATCCAAAGTGATAGGATGACAGGGAACTAGCTAAGAATTTTAAGCCTTCTTAACAAACAAAACCTCAGTTTCACTGGCATTGCAATTAATTGATGGGCTGAATCAAAGGACATGAATATTGCTTACAGATGAAAATTGCTTGTTTGAGAAAAGAACAGAAACAAGAGTAGGTAGCTCTATTGTTTGTCGAAGGAGCTAACTTGCTCCAACTCCAAGAAGATGGAAGAAAGCTACATATTAAATATTTCTGATTGAATATATGAAAAGGTAATAACAAAGAGATGTTATATCCTTGTTTGACCTGTTTTAGAACTCTTAATCAAAAGAAGCAGGTAAAGGAAATGGATACAAAATGCATCTATAGTAAAAACACTAGTAATCTCTGATTCCTGACATTTTAATCATCTCTGTCTTACAGAGACTGATTTAAGTTTGGAAGTGTACAATTTAATACCTTTCCAGGAACAGTGTCATTTGTCGTAGTTCTGAAAACACTCGACTTTCATTCCTAGAAGTATGAGCTTGCTAAGTCACATTCCTCTCCTACCTCTCCTTCTTCTTATTGTTCCGTGAATCTGAGGCCTTCCTTCTAATAATTGACATAATTTCAAAATGGCCTTATTTGGAACCTATATTTAAACATATGTTATTTATATAATTGGTTACCTGACATGAGCAGTCACTACTCCCAGGTGTTTCAGTATCTGCTGCTTACAGGAAACTTAAGCCAGTGAATTTCAGATTGTTTTTTTCCAGGAAAAAGAGGTAAGACATACCTGGGTATTAAGAACATGTATTATTTGTTGTTAACAGAGTACATATTTTTTATTAGGACATCAAAATGTATTCGGTGCCCGTGAACAGTGAAGCTGAGCATCTCAGAATAGGGAGGAAACTAATCTCTAACTGGTCCTACAGTCATAGCATATTCTTCCTCAAGAACACCTGGGATAAACTCTGGATTTTATGACAATAACGTTTGACAATAATGATTTTTCTTTGTTCTGTAAAGGGTGTATGTAAAAATGTTGAAATTTACGTTTGACCTGAGTGCACCATTTTCTTTATAGATGCGATGCAGATGTCTCCAGAAACCTGCTCCTGCTGTAATGTTATTTTCACTATGCAGTCCCATCAGTTCTGTTCTTCAAGCCATTTCCTTCACTATCAGCCAGTTAACTTCTCTTATGTTTCTAAAGATTATGGGGTAGATTGTGGACTTACTGTGAGAAAAGTTTCTTGCACAAATAATTCCAGTGGCAAAGTTGAAAGCTCTCACGATTTCAATGTTTTTCAGTATTATTATTGCTTGGCTTTTTTATCTTTGGGATAATGAAATGTCTTTATGCTTTTCTGTTTTTCAAGTGTCCTTGATTTGAGGGTTACTACTGTGATAAACCTTGCTAACTTCCATTTGACATGAGAAAAATAGCACATAGGTATTTCACTCCTCCCTGTTCTGATCTGAATTTTGAGATACTCTTCCTTACCAGTTAGCAAAACTAAATGAGCTCTCTTGGGCTTTGCCTAGAGTCAAGCTTTCCCTTGTAGGTAGGTATATGGCACCTTCTGCATTATTATCCAGTGCAATTCCATCGCAAGGGGATTTCCCCATATCTATTACCTGAAGTTATGCCTGATATTGATGATATGCAATGTTTACATAGGACACTTTGATAGCAGACTGTTTTGCTCCTGAAAACCAGAAGACAAAGATCTAGTATTTATTTTATATACATATTATTATTTTTAAGGAGTAAGTCATAGTTGCACCTTGACATAGTAGTTACTCGGTACTATTTGAATTGGGTTTAGTTTTTAACATTTTGGGTGCATGACACTGAGCTCACAGCTCACCACTGTAAGACAGAGGTTATCCATCTGGCCGGAGGACCTTAAAGTTTTATTGCAAAATGAAGGCAGGGCTTTCAAGGGAAAGCATTATGCACACTAACGATGCTATGCAATAAAGCAAATCTTTTAGAATATGTTTGGAAATTTCCAAAAGGTATTAATGAAGATGTTCTTTCCTGCTATGATACTATTAAACTGGTAACACTGAAGCAATGCAGCTTTACAGATGAAGGGATACCTTAAAATCAGTGTCAGCACTAACACATTAAGAAAAGTTTTCTGGAAACTACAGAGGGAAAATATACCAGCTCTATGCACTTCTAAAGTTATGTGGATTGTTTTATCTGGAGATGATCTATGTAATTCACATTCTGCTTTCAGTTTACATCAACAGCTCACAAAACCATGAGATATAGCTCTTCTGCGTTACAGAAAGTAGACCCTGACCTGTATTTGCAGCAGGTACCCCATTCTGCCATGTAGGAGATGCTGTGTTTAAGGACTGTTCTGGTGATGAGTCCTGCAATATATGCCCCTTCACCCCTGGTCCCTCAGTGACATTCTTCTAACACATACTGAGATATTGCAAGTATCTGGTTTTTTTTCACAGTGTCAATTTATGACAATTTTAAAGACATCATGGCATTTTTGTAATATTTAAACTGCATGTCTGCTGGAAGAAGTAATGAATGAATGGGATCTTCCTCTTCATAGCCTGTTCCCCTAGTCAAAGCGACTGATGCTTTATTTAAACACAAAGTCCCAACTATCAGTGAAATGACTTGTAGGCAACAGTTTGTAAGCAAAAGCAGCAGAAAGAATGCTTGTTTATGTATGTTTTGGTAAGGGTAGCAGGGGTTTGCATTAAGTGGATGCAAATGAGTATAAACAAAGACTCAATTTCTGTAACTTACTGCTTCTTACTTGACAAGATTTTAAGAGCAGCATACTGCAGCAGGGTAAACTCATCAGGAAATGAGGTGCACATTCACTTAGGCTATTGTCTGGATTGTGGGACTGTAAGTATGTTTTGTTTTTAACCTTGCAAGAAGTTTCTATACCAGCTGCTAAATATTAATATTGTATTCAGTGAACTAGCACTGGTTTACTTCATGCCTAAGTACTAGCAATTTCCTGATATAATTTCCTTAGGTAAAGCCTGAGAAGTCTTCTCTAGGATCAAGACCTTAAAACTAAGTAAGTATCAGTTAAAGTAAAGATCCCTCTCCCCCCATGTATAACTGTTATTAAATATATGTCTGGAACAAACTTATTTAGCAAGTAAATATACTAATTTTTACTTCAAGTTAATACCAAATTGCTAAGAAACTTGCAGCTATGCTGTATACTTGTGGGAGGTGAAGAACTTGGATAATTTGACAGATGTCACTTTAAAAGGAAGAGACAGAATTGGTAATATCTGCCAGATCTGCCACCCAACATTAGTAGTCTATTCCTGCCTTTCTCAAAGAGGGGAAAGTAGGTTAATAGATGGCCAGGATGTCTCCACACAGCAACCACAAAATAAGAGCCATGCCTGGCTGATGAATATGCTTCTTTCTATATGCAGAATGCAATATATCTACAAACCATGACTTTCTTATTTCAAGTAATCTAACTCACTGTCATACCTAAGTTGCACCCATTCATTAAAAGGCTTTGTTCCAGAACTGACTTTGCCATGTATCTCACATTCTCAGTGAAGACTATGTTAGGTTTTAAGGATGGGAAAACTGAAAACTGGGTTTAAATTACGCTATGTCTGCACTTTAGTCTCATTCAAGGAGACGTACGTTCTGAAAGACGCACAGGTCAGTGTTGGTGCTCAGCGGAGAGCCCCAGCCTGTTGGGTGAGGCAGGTGAGCGCTGGTGGCGCCTGGCACATGGCTCCTGCTGAGCTGCAGCTCATCTAGCGGGAGCTGCTGCTTTGCAGCGAGGCAGGTTACGGCTGGCGAGCAACACCTTTTCCCTCAGGGCAACAGCTTCTTTCGGGTCCCGCCGTCTCCATCGCCACACCTCCCTGCTCGGGAAAAGAAAAACACTTGAAACCCGGCACAGCCGAGGAAGAAATGCAGCAAACACAACGCGCACCCGCACCGCGTTGGGGAGCGCTCCGCTCAGCCCCGCCGTTACCGCCCGTACTCACCGCAGCACCGGGCTGGGCTCGCCCCCTGTGGTCCCACGCCAGGTGGTGCCGGGTCTCCTGCGCGGCCTCAGCCGCACCGCACACCGCCTCGCTCCTGCCCTCGGGCCGGCCGCCGCGCCTTCCCTAGCGGGTGGCAGGGCAAGGCGAGGAGGCCGGCCCGAGGGCTCCGGCGCGTGCTGACCGGGCCGCCCAGGAGACTCGCACGAAGGGAAGCACCGCGGCCTCAGGGGAGCCACCCCCGGCCCCGCCGCCGCAGCCGGCGGAGCGCTGCCGCGGCGCGGAAGGTGCGAGCTGGGCCGGGAAGGGAAGTGCCGGCCGCGGGACAGGGGTCAGTGGGCTTGGTCAGAGAGCGGGTAGGGGTCGGCCGGCGTTCTGAGGCCACGGGGCAGGTGCGTGCGCGGCGGGCGTCGCTTACCCGCCCGCCGCCCCTGGGCGGCTACAGCACGGCGGGGCTCGGCTGGGCGCCGGCGGAGCGCGGCGCTCGCTCGGCTCACGATAGTGTTTGCGCATGACCCCTCCCCGCCTGCGCCCTCCCCTCCCCGGCGGCAGCGGGGAAGGTTAGTCTCAGACACAGGCGGCTGCTCGGCGGCGGCCGCGGCGACGCAGTGCAGAGGTGCGGGCAGGTTGCGCTGGCCCCGCGCCCCGTCTCTCCTGCGCCCCGCCTGCCTCCGGAGCCCGCTCCCCGCCGGCGGCCTCCCCGCGCCGGTGTCGGGCCGGCCCCCCGGCCATGAGCGCGGTGCTGGGTGTCCCCCCGCCGCGCCGCCTCCCCCGCCGCCCCCGGCGGCTGCCGGGCTCCAGGAAAGTAGCTTGATGAGTGTCCAAAGTAGCAGTGGAAGTTTGGAGGGGCCGCCATCTTGGTCCCGGCTCTCCACGTCCCCACCGAGCCTGCAGGGCTGCTCCGCGGCGGCGGCCTCCCAGCTCCACGGCGCGCCGCCCGGCAAGCCGCCCAAGGAAGGTAATCAGCGCGCCGCGGGGCTGCGCGGGGGGCCCGGCCCTCGGGGAGGGGCCCGGCAACGGCCGCCGGAGGCCGGTCCCGGGCTGGCGGGGAGCGGTGGTGGTGGTGGTGGTGCGGGGTCAGCGTTGGGCCCGGTGGCGGCGAGAGGAGCCTCGGGCGCTGGGTGAGCGGGGCCCCCGCACGCGCCTCTCGCCGCCGCTCGTCAGCGCGGCGGCGCCTTGTTTCCCCCCGCGCCTCCGGGCCGCGGAGGGGGATCGGCCGCGCTCCCTCCGCTCCGGGGCCGAGCGCCCTCCCGCCCGCAAGAGCCGCTCGAGTCTCCTCCCGCCGCGGCTCTCCTCGGGCGGCCGCTCGAAATCGGTTCCCCTCCGCCAGCGGCAAAGTAAAAGTGCTGCGCCGGAGGATGCGGCCGTTGTTGCTAGATGAAGGGAGTCGGGCACTTTTGGCATCATGGAGGTGGGGAGGAGAGAGGGGCCGACACCGGCGTGTTCGTCCCCGTGGGGAAGGCTCCCTCGGGGTGGCTGGTTTTGCGGCCAGAAGTGACAGGGCGCCTTACGGCCACCGCGGAATGACTGCAACTTTCCCCTGTCCTCCATCACGCCTTAGATGATAATATTTTTCTCCTCCCTCCCCTGCTCCTCCCCTCTTGTGTTACACCGACAGCAGGGTGTTGTGGGTGTTTGCAGGGAATATCTGTATGAAGGTTATGAGCAAACAAGTCCCTTCGCTATTCCCTTTCGGGTATTGTCTGGTTTTCCTCCTTGTGTTGAAATGTATTGCCACAAGATGTAGCAGTTATACAGCTAGTGGATCGCTCGGTGCTTTTAGCTAAAATAACTACTTGCTGAACGCCGGTTAGTGGTGGAAGAGAACTTTTATACAGAGATACTTGCATACCGAGCAGTTGTATAATTTTACTCCATTTGCCCCGGTTTAATGAATACCATGTAGCATTTCTTGTGGCGTCCGCAGAATGTCATTGCCCAAGCAGGAAACTTGCTAAGTTAAAATAGAAATAATAGTGAAAATGGGAAGTCTTTGTTTTTCAGGTCTTCCTGTAGCTGCTTGCTTGCCTTTTTTTTTTTTTTTTTTTTTTTTTTTGTTGATAAGCAATGTAAGGACTTGGTAACAGGGATCTGACATCCTGGAAACATGCAACGCAGCCCGTGTTTCTCCATTTTCCACACCAGTAGTTGTCAGACTTGTATCACTCTGTGCCACTTTTGCACACGCTCCTGCAGGTAGATTGACATGAAATGCTCTAGAAAATACCTGGAGAGGAATTATGGTATATGTTAAAGATGCTGAGTAAAGTGGCAGGCATTTTGTGCTCGGCTGCTCTGGGAAACGGAAGCTTTCAGCAGAGCAACAACCACCGGCCAAATGTGTAGTTTAAGTTTACAGAGAGTAGGTTTCTTCAATGTTGCAACTTGTTACAAATATGCTGCACATAATATCCACATAGCATGTATACATTGAGATATTTTTTGTTGGATTCAGATAGCCAGCATACAGGCTTGAGAAGATTATTGCAGCACAACTTGCGTATCTTATCTATTTTAAAGAAAAAGGGTGTTCCTTGACTACCTCTATTTAGGCAAGGAAGAACATTTTTGTGAAATTAATTTCTGACATAATGATTCTTTTTACTTTTTTCTTTCTTATGACTCATGCTGTTGGATTTTTCTGGGTACTGTAATTTACGTCTTCTAATATAGATTCAGGAGTTAAAGAGTAATCAAAACCCTGGTGTTTGCTTCGTTGCTATATGGTACTGTATTTGCATGGTGTTTCTGGGTCGGGATAATTGTGTGTCCTCACTAGGTAGTTCTGTTTGAAGACAGGCATCAGCTACCAGCCATGCTTGGTTTATATTTTGCATTCATGCTCTTGGAATGTTATCAGCACACCTTACTTCATGTATGTACATTCTACAGTGAAGTATCTTGCCTGAAAGCAATAGGCCCTGAAATATAAATATGTCAATATGCCATAGACATTGGCTTATATATGTGAAAGAATGATGTCAGATCAAACTAATAAACGTGCAGTATTTTCAGTGCAGTGTATTTATAGGAGCTTGTGCTCTCATCGATTCTGAACTTGTGATACTTTGTGATGTTACAGAGGTTATGAGCTTTGGAGCAGCGCATGAGGCTGCTGGCCCATACTGGATCAGAGCTGCGTTGCTGTGCTAATGCCTCTGCTGGTTCTGGGTGGATGATATTTCCAGGTTACGGTGCATTCAGTTCTTGGGTTGAGTTTGTGGCCCAGCCTGGCCTTCGCCTTTGAGGATTCAAACCTCTGTGACAGTTATGCTCATGTTGCCTTTGGATGCACAGGCCTTCACTGCATGAACCACGTGTGATGTGGTTTATCTGACCTTACCTGTGATTCACTATGAAAGCTTGGCAACAGCCCACATCTCTCTATGGGTTTTCAAGGGTTCTGATTTATTTAGAACAGAAACCTCCAGCACCCTGATTTAGAAAGTCCTAAAAATATTCTCTGAAGCTGTAATACGGAGAAAGCAAAAAGAAAAGCTTTGACCTTATCTTCTAAAGTTTTAAAATGTAAGGACTGGGATGAACATAAATGCAGTTGCATCTATATACTTTCATTGTACCAGAACTGTCTCTTGTTTGCATTTCAGTATAGATTGTAACTATCTGTAGTTATGTCAATTATTTTATATGCCGATAATTGATGTGTGGGATATGTGGTCAGTTATTCAATAGCCATGCAATAGATGCTATTGAGAATTTAGGAGGACTGTTATGTGTATTATTTTACATAAGGTATGTGATCATGGGACTAAATCCTATGCCACAGCTCACATAACTGCAGTCGTGCAACTTCATGTTTGAAGTTTCTTAACTTTTGACTGCTTTATGCGTGCAACTAAAAAGACAAGAGCACATAGTTAGAGAATGCTGTTTTGTAAATGGGGGATGTTCAGGCCACTGCTGACAAGGCAGAGAGGCAGAAGAAATTTCCTGAATCATGCAATGGTTTGAAGGGACCTTAAAGATTGTCTGGTTCCAGCCCACTGCCATGGGCAGGGGCACCTTCCACTAGACCAGGTTGCTCAAAGCTAACCTGTCCTGGGACACTTCCAGGGATGGAACATCCACAGCTTCTCTGGGCAACGTATGCCAGTGTCTTGCCACCCTCACAGTAAAGAATTTCTTCCTTATATCTAATCTAAATTCTCCCTTGTCCTATCACTACATGACCCTGTAAAAAGTCCCTCTGCAGCTTTCTTGTAGGCCCCCTTTAGGTACTGGATGGCTGCTGTCAGGTTTCCTCAGAGCTTTCTCTTCTCCAGGCTGAACAAGCCCAGCTCTCTCAGCCTGCCTTCATAGGAGAGGTGCTCCAGCCCACTGAGCATCTTCGTGGCCTCTTCTGGACTCACTCCAGCAGGTCCACATCCTTCTTATGTTGGAAGCCCCAGAGCTGAACACAGTACTCCAGATAGGGTCTCACCAGAGCAGAGTAGAGGGGGAGAATCACCTCCCTCAACCTGCTGGTCACAGTGCTTTCCATGCAGCTTTCTGGGCTGCAAGTGCCCATTGTCAGATCATGTTGAGCTTCTTCCTCAACCAACGCCTCGAAGATTTGAGAGATACATATGGGTGTTTTGGAATAGCTTCTCTTTTGAGGTGGGAAGCAGTGCCACAGTGTCTGGTAGTCAAGCATGATGCAAGTTATTTTTTGTTTGTGCTCATGGCTTTTGACACTTTACTAAAAGTAAAACAATGCCAAATACAACTTTGAATTACCATGACAGGAATGTACATTTCAGTTTTCAAATTTGAGGCCAAATTAACGTATGATGACAAAATGGTAAATAAACTCAGCACATGTATCTGAAACACTTTGGAGAACTAATGCGGTAGGAGTAATAAATTTTGTTGGTAATTTTTTTCTTTTAAATTGGATAAATGTATATTATTTTTATTTATTGTTACCTAAAATGTAATGGTAGTTGTCTGTTATAAAGGTACAGCTTTTCCTCAAGTTTGCAGTCTAGAAAACGTTTCTAGATGCCAGGTTGTATCGCATATGCTACATATAGTGTATTAGTCCATGAACATGAAAGATACCTGATCTTACTAAATCTTCCTGTTTTTTTTTTTTTCTCTGTTGTTTTCTTATAGTGTAAAAGCTCAGCTGCTTTATTTGCTTAACCAGTAAGTTCTCAGTAAGTTTGTTGGGTTTTGTCATTCAACTGTAGATTGAGAATTTGATGGATTTGGCCAGTTCACGTGAGGACAGAATAAAATGAGAACACTTGACATTTAAAGATGGTGGTATGTTTTTACTTAGGA